TCTTTAGTAATGAACTTTTAGTTTTATTGGTCGCTTTACGTACTTAGGATTTATTTATTTTATTTATTTATATATCTAAGATCAGTTTTTTCTGGTTTCCAGTGAAATAGTTCAGTGTATGCTGAGTATTTTCGGCTTCCATACGTCATCAAAGAGATTGTTGTGCTATACTTCATCATTTTTCAAATCATATATCCTCGTCTCCTGTCGGCGTTTTTTGTTTTTTGTTTTTTTAAATAAAGTATCTCGACTTCAAAGTTGCCAGAACTACTCTCAGTTAATTATTTACTAATTAAAGAAATTGCACAATATGGATCATTTTGAGAGCCTACATAGCTGTGTTGTTGTTGTTTGTTTTTTATGTTTTTTTCGGTAAGACCAGGAATAACCTCACGCAAAACAAGGTGCGTCCTGCTTGACAAAGGATTTTTGTCATAATGAGGCAATTCCATATTTGTTGAGGCAAGGACAGGTTCTCTTTCTGATGCCCACACTCATATGACAGATCAAGTACACAGTGTTTTTACCACGACACCATCTTTAGGAAGGTTGCCATTCAAGGTTTGAGACCCATCCTAGCCATTTTATATATATATATATATATATATATATATATATATATATATATAACTGTGTGTAAAGGCTAGGATGGGTCTCAAATATGGCTAAAATCAGCCATTGTAGAAATTTCAAAATAAAAAACTTCATTTCAATTAATTTAAATGTTTTGAAATATAGCAAAGTATGTTGCTTAATGGAAATATTAAATTTAATCAGCCTGAAGTTAAAACTAAAATAAGAGCTTCAATAAAGATTTTTCATTTTTAAAAATTCATTTTAAACTTTATGTATCATGTTTCTTCGGTAGTACCTATATATATATATATATATATATATATATATATATATGAAAAAAAATACAGAAAAACAAAATTCTGAATTATAACTTATAAATAATTAAAAATAAAAGACGATGTTATACGTTTAATGTTAATTATGTTTAAATGAAAATGAAGATTTTCTTAAATAGAATTAAACGTCCGGAACTTAATTTTATTTTAACATTAATAATGCATATTCAGAATTTTGTTTTTTCTGTATTTTTTCTTTTCATACTGTCGGATTTATATCCATATATTTTTATATATATATATATATATATATATATATATATATATATATAATGTGTGTGTGTGTTGACTCCTACAAGTTAATCCATCTTTTGACAGTTCTGGTTTTTCATCTTGTCAGGTGACATGCTACCCTCCTCTCCAGCAGAGAAAATCTAATGAGGGAGCTGGTTTAGATGTCAACCACCCATCCATGTGACAGGTTCTACTGGGTTACATGTTACCAGTATCTGGCCTGAGCCTGACCTGACCAAATGATATCTCCCAGGATAGGTAAATAGTTATAAGAGGAATAGCTATGAGGGTGGATCAATAAGTATGAAGCCTGACACATAGATGAATTTTGATCTGATATTTTCACTGAACATTGTTCAACATATGTAACCTCTGATAAGAAGTATTAAGTATATTGACAATGAAGGATATTATCTGTCTGAATTTCTGGGATGAGGAGTTATCATTATTTACACTATTTACATTTGGATTATTGTTCTCATCTTTTTTGTTGTTGTTACCAAAATATTTTGGCTGCTGTCCTCTCCAGCCTTCATCAGGTGCTTTTTGATTGAAATAAACTTGTACTGAACACTTTATTCAATGTACAGAGTTAGATTGTTCTTGTTCTGCTGTCTATGCTGATATCTCATCTTGTTCTTATTTAGTACTGCTCAGTTATTGCTCATCCTGTTTTCACTGAGTCTGAATCTGCACTACACAGACCAGAAATTACTATAATACCAAATTCATGAACAAATGATTTAATCTGCTAGCTCAATAATAACAAAGATGAGGACAATAATAATGGTAGCTATTTCCTTATGAAGAAATATTTAACATTAATTGACTGACCAGCTAGTGCTACTTTCAGTTAAAATTCATAAAAACTTTTTATTAAAACAATTTTTCAGGAAAATAGATTTCTCAAGTCCAGTAACTGTTATAGCTCTTTACAGCATTGCTAGGAGCTTCCTTCTTAACCTTTTTTTAGTAGTGTGGAATGCCAACATCTTGATTACATCATTATTTTCTCTTTGAGTTACATGTGCTATCCATTTTTTAGTTCTTGCTGTTGTTAAAAATCCACAAATGCTGTAGTTTCTGTTATTTGTATAGTTCTTTGTGATTCTGTAGCACCAGTACACAAGGATCAAAGAAGGGTGGTTCTTTCCAAGACCTACAGGCATTTTTTTTAAATGTAACCAAATCAGCACTAATAAGCAACATCAAGTAATTTTAATTAAAAACATTTAAAATTTAAAACATACATAATACCCTTTTGCAGGCCTTTTGTCAATGAAGGGCCTAGGTTTAGGACCATAGAATCATTTGCCTCTTCTTATGAAAATGATGTGACTGTATAGATGTAGTAGTAATTCTAAGCTGCATTGTGTAGGAATAGTAGTAATTATATGTTGAAGTTCTTTCAGAACATTCCTGACATGTTCTGGCTCATTTCAAAGCAAGAAATATTGAGAGTTGGCATAAACCCCTTTACAACACAGATTAGAATATAAACAGAAAAATCTACTAAGAATGAACCCATGAAAATGGTTAATGAATTGACCAAAAGTGCTTGGGGCAGTAATCACTACGGTCAATTTCTATCCACTCTTAGTTCTCATAAAAGAAAAACTGTTAGAACACTAGAAAAATTTTCCTTGTCTGTTACATTTGATGAAACATGTATAAAAGAAAGGTTGCTGCCTAAATATACAATACACATTCACACTCAAACACACACACACACACATATATATATATACACATATGTATATATATCTATATATATCTATCTCTCTCTCTCTCTCTCTCTCTATATATATATATATATATATATATATATATATATATATATTCAGATACTACAAAAATGTTGGTGCAACCAGCAGACAACCTGCCAAAGGACTTAAAACCTTAGATAAGAAAAAAATACCAAACTAAGAAAAAATAAAAGACAAACACCTACCCAAGCAGTAAATTAAAGTGCTAAATGCCTATGCTATCCAGACAGAGAAAAAATGCTTCAAATTGTCAACCATCAACAAGGCACAGCTTGAGTCACTAAAGTTTCATGATCTCAAGTGACTAGAATGATATTGTAAAACTTACAAGTAATCAATGTACATAGATGATTTTTACCTGAGCTTGAACACTGACCACATACTAGAATGAAATTTGCAATTATCTCATCCATTGAACACACAGATAGATGTTAATGTCTAATGTACTGACTTTTGACAGTAAAAAATTATATTTCATCAGTCTGTTAAAAGGAGGAGACTATTTTGAAAATCAGCATCTGAAAACTTGGCCTTTACCAGGACTCAAGTACTACTACTAATAATAATAGAGAGGCAAATAAATAAAATAGATAAAAGATAGAGCCTTAGTTGAATGACTGGCATACCTTCCAAGTTTGAATTCTATTTATATTAGTGCCATCAAGTCTCAAAGAAGAAGGAAAAGTCTCTACAGAATTCTGTTCGGGTTGCTTTTACCTTAACAGCTGGTTACCTCATAGCAACACCAATTTACCTTGGTAAATATACCTCTGTTTTTTTTTTGCTCTTATTTTCCTGACTCATAAATAAACAAGGGCCTCATCTTCTTATTCCACATCCAAAGGGAATTTATTATTATTATTTTTATTACTTTGCATTGCTTTTTTTTTTCAAGTGTGTCATTCCGCACTTATCTCATTTATAATAAATTCTGTTTTTAAATTATTTGAAGCCAATTCTGGCACAAGGTTAAATATGCTAAGCACTTGCAAATACTTAGTCATTTTGAATAAAAGATTAAGATACTAATTTTAGAAGATCAGGCTTCTATATTTTAGGGTAGTGTAGTTATCAGTGCATATAATGGAATTGACATGCTGACTTCAAAATCCTGACTAGTCAGTCACATTCAATTTCACACAAATTCCCTTGGTAAAGACATGAATACACCTCTTCTCCCACCAGCTATAGGTTAAATAGGAGGGTAGACAGAGCTTTCCAGTATTGAGTGGCAACCAGTCAAAGAGCAGGGTAATTTTGAATATCAAGCATAGAGAAGGCAACGAGAAACCATTTCACTGTCTTTCTCAGGAAATCATGGCAATTCACATGTAATAAAGTAAAGAACTCTATGGAGAAACATGATCACTGACATCCTGAAGAGACATGACATTAAAAAGAAGTAACGATAAGTATAACAAATGAAGAAAGATGAATTTCACATGAATTTCTCACAGAATGTTTTTATTATTACATATTGATTTTTAACATACAAGTTTCCATTGTAGACTTTATGATAATGTTACATCCAATTTTGTCCGCAATATTTCTCTGTTTGAATTGTTACGGCAAGGGTGTCTTTATGACTATACAGTGATTCTCTCAGAGAAGTTTCCTTCGTAGTCTTTATGATAATGTTACATCCAGTTTTGTCACAGCCATCTTTGTTTGAATTTCAAAGTCAAAATGTTCTTATAACTATACAATGATTCCTTCAGACAAGCTTCCTTAATTGTCTTTATAACAATGTTTGATCCAGTTTTGCCTGAGTCATCTTTCTGTCTGCTCTTCTACTCAACAAAGTCTGTGTACTATACACTAACTGAACTCACAAGAGAACCAGATAAATTTTTATCTATTAAGCTATATCCTGTTGGACATTCAGGTAATAATAGATTTCTTGAGGCTTAAAGCTAATGACTTTTCTTGCCTTAATAACGGCTCCAAAACGAGGCTTTTATGTATGCTTAGCCTACTGACTGGATTTGAGTTATATTCATTGAGTTCTGTTCTTATTATTTTTGAGTACATGTAGGTGGTGTAATAGTTAGTTGCTCAGAACAAGAAATCAGGCTTACCATAACATCATGTTGAAACATCAGTTCCCATATGATCACTGAAGTTAAGCAACATCAAGCCTGGTCAGTACTTAGATGCGTGACCACTTGGGAATGCAAAGTGTTGTAAGCTTGAATATATGGGTGGTGTAATGGATAACAGCTGAATCGGAAAGCTGAGTTCCAATTCCAGTTGGGTTCATTATATTCACTTATGTGCAAATGCCCTTGGGAATGTTATGAGTCCATCTCTTCTCTCCTAGTTATGGGTTAATTAGTAAGACATATCACTAAATCATCATCATCTCTCCCCCCTCCCAAAAAAAATTCTTACAATCTGAGAATATTTTCTGGCTTTAAATAACCTCCATAAGCTGTAAAAAATGAAACAAGAAATCAGCAAGCCAAATTTGAATTTCGGTTGAAATTGTTATGTTCACTTTTGCACAAATATCCTTGAAAAGGTTATAAATCCATCCCCACCCCACTAGTTTTTGGTTAGCAGCTAGTTTAGGAGAAAGACAATTCAAAACTGTAGTCTGGTAAATCACATACTATACAGCCAATGAAAGGATCACAATGACACTATGATCCTAACTGCAGTCAATCTGAAGGATGGATGGATCTTTACAGTAGAGCATTAAACAATTTTGTGATATTTCAATATTAATTAAGATGAAGTATCTTTTTTTTAAATTTCTAAGTGAATGCAGGCAAAAGTTTTTTTTTTCCTTTTTTGTTTTGCTTAATCTTTGTCACTATTTTTTATTCTTTCAATTCTGTTTTTATGATGAAGTACCAAGAAAATAATAGCTAAAGGTTGCCTTTTTTTAATAAAACACTTATATAGTGTAAAAAATTAAAAATGTGCCCCTCCTCACTTTCCTCACAGATTATGATCCCATAGAAGGCTGTAGAATGGGACAACCAAAATATGGTAACAACAAGCAAAAAGCAAACCAAAACATGAATTCAATAGTTGGAACAACTCTTAGAAAAAAAATTCTTTTCTTTCCATTTTACATAAATAAAAAAAAAAGTTACTAAATTTTCAATCCCCTCCTCTTCTTCATCTTCCATGTCCTTTCAGTATGTTGTATAGTTATGGCTCTCCACAACTTTCTGTCTTTTACCTTTCCGCCATTCTTCTTTCTTTTTGTTCTACTATTCATTCACACAAATTAAATTAGTCACTGTTTCACTCTGCATCTCTTGGATTCAATATGCCCTGTGTGTGTTAGATTCTCCAAGCTCTCTTTCCTCATGCATCCCAGAAATTTCAACTCTTTCTGATTTTAAGTACTAGTGTCCTTTTGTTACCACTTTCTTTAAGATTTCCTTGTTGCTGAAATGTTCTATCATGGCATTCTTAGAATTTATCGGTAGAATCACATCTCTGTCACTTCAAGTCTCTTCATCTGTGAAGAGATTTTCCAGCATTCACTGACATAGGAGATTTGATATTACTTAGCAGTTCAGCATTCTTCTAGCTTAACTGATGAAGTTCTAAAATATATACGGGAGTGTAGTGAAAAGTTCTCGGCCTCACCCACAAAAAAGAAAAAGAAGAGAATGTTATTTATTTTCACACACACACACACACACACACACACATCCTCTTTCTTTACTGGTGATTTCTTTTGTTGATGGGGAGCGGGGTAGTGATTTGAAACCATTTTTCCTGTTTGTGGTCAGTACAAAAACAAATCATCATCTTCCTCTTTTTGTCACTGGTTAGGAAATAAGGCATACACTCTTGAAAAATATTTTTAATTAAATGACCATTATTATTATTGTCATTCTTGACACCACGATCTCTACTAAAGAAGTCATTTCTTGATGGTTGGTATTATGTCCTGGTTCGTTCGAGGTCAAGATAACTTGACCTGCTTCTTGTGGAAACAGTAAAACAAAAAAACAAACCGAAGATTTCTAATTTCCTCTCTTGGTTACTGGATGATGGAATACTTCTCTCAGTGAATAATAAACAACATATTCAAATTATTCATTGACTTGTAATCATGTAAAAAAAGCGTAATTTATAGCAATGAACAAAAAACACGGTAAACTAAAAAATGAATGAATAATAATACATAAAATTTAAATAATTTAAAATAAATGTTTCTTTTAGAGTAAAGTACTAGAGAGTAAAAAAATACAGCTTAGAATGAAATTTAATTTTGCTGTTTACTTTTTAATCGGCTTCTTATTGTAATTTCGTTTTTTTTTTTGTTTTTACTACTGAGTTTTTAAAAAGTTTGATAAAACTTTACTTAAACTTTTTAAAAAATCTTTTTTTTTTTTTAAAGTAAAACATTCCAGGGGATTTTCTATTTTATTTATTTCCAAATGTAGATTTTTTTTTTCCCAAAACTAATTAATTAGCAAATCAGATGGAAGTACGTGATAAATTCTAGTGTTAAAAAATTATTTTAGTTTCTTTGCAGTGGTAATACTCTGAAAAAGTTCAAGTTTTACTCGGGTCGGTCTTTTTAGAAGGACTCAATTGCAAACATTTTTACAGGGCCTCGATGCACAATCAACATCTGAAGTTTTTGCAGTTTTTTACTTATTTTAATTTTACGTATCCGTTTTTAATTTTTGAGAGAAATTCATTTTCTCAATGTAACACGTAAAAAAGTTAAAAAAATCTAAATAATGAATGAAATGTAAACACTATTTTTCTTTTTAATTCAGAAAAAAATCATTGTTGCTGGTCTGTATTGTAAGTTTTTTTGTAACATACAATGTTAATTAAAATATTTGACAAGAAGACTAATTAGAAGAGTACAAATAAATATCTTATATTCCGACCGACCCACCTCGAGGCGTGAGGCCTAAATTGGGAGCAAATGGGTCCAACTGGCTTAAAGCAAACCTTGATTTTTCTTACACAATTGAATAAAGCAAATAACCAAAATAAATAAAATAAAAACAATTTTATAACCAACATTGGTTTTAAAATTAAACTAAAGTAATGACAAACATTGTAATGTACAACCATAAAAAATGTAAAAAAATCCTGCGATCTTTTAAAAAGTATAATTTTTCATTCCAACAAAAAACTAAAATTAACATTTTTTATTTAAAGTATAAAAAAGAAATAAAAAAAAATAATGCTTCATTTTAATTTTACTCGGATTACTCTGAATTTTATTTATTTATTTTTCGCATACATAGCAAAAATTAAAATAAACAATTAAGTAAACAACTAAAAAACAAAAAGTTTTAAGACTACCCCCCCCCTTGTAAAAGGCATGTAGGTGGTAGACACACCCTCTTACTTCAACTTTTATTCTAGTCTGTCACTCACTAACTTTATACCCCCTCAGATTGAAAATGTATTTAAACCACTTTTAGCAGTAAACAGTATTAACTTGAGACTGACTTACTTTGTAAATAGGGGTGTATAGCTTATCAATCAACGTAGCAGTAGTTGTAGAAAGTTTAAGAATGGCTGCACGGAACTGAGGTTTTCCTTATGAATTAGAGTCGAAGAAGAAGAAGAAAAGAAGCAGACGTCGACGTGTTTTCTCTCTCTTTTTTTTTCACGGCACTGTCCCTTTACCATGGATAACAGACAACAGACTTACTTTGGGATTCCTTGTGCCAGCAATTCTGGGGATTTTGTGAAATGATACAGGTTTTTTTGGTCGACGACAGATCTCTTGTTTTATCATCAGAGAAAAACTGTTTTGTTTTTTTTATTACTCTTCCTCATATTCGGACAAAAACGTACACAACTTTTTAACAGCTGATTAATTCTATTTATTTTTTTAAATTTTTTACTGATTTTTTTTTCCATCAACATGACGTCCCAAAGTAAGTTTACTTTATTTTATTCTTATTTTTTAAAAAATACTTTTCATTTCTTAATTTTGACAATGATTTGGCTTCTCGTTTTTTGTTGTTGTTTTTTTTTTTTTTTCTTTAGGCTGTTTTTAATTTTAATTTTTTTATTATTAATGTTTAATCCACTTCTCGGGTCAGAAGTCTCACATTTTTTAATGACTTCTTCCGTCATACCCTCTTTATTAAATTTCTTTTTATATTTTGAAAAAGTAATTAATTGACATAACAAAACACTTTCTTTTCGACGACGTTTTCGTAGATTTGTTGAGAAAAATTATTACTTTCTCACGGGTATAGCAAATACAGTTTGGTGACGTGACTTACTTTTTCGTAAAATGTTCTAATCACAAGCAGAAAAATTATTCTTCCACTCGATTTTTGAAATCGTTGCTATTAAAAATTTATATATTCTAGTTTTTCTCTGTGACTTGCTGTCAAAAGTTTTAAATGAGCAGAAATAAATTGCAGTGGAAATGTAACTTGCTACATCGTGTTGATAATACTTTTTTGTGCACAAAAGATCGACTTTAAGATCAAGGAATGAAAGGTGAAAAATGTGTATCGATTGATTATTATATTAACCTACGGATGCTCAAAAAGACAATAGTTGTTTGTTTATTTACTACTTTTTTTTTTTTTTTCGGTTTTCCTTTTTCATATGATTATCATTAAATTTCGATTTACCTCCCTCTCGCAATCACTAAAAGGTAGGTCATTAAGTATTAATTGGGATAAAATGTGAACTAATGAACTTTTACTTAAGATTCACATGTTTGTTTTTGTCAATCCATCGATTGACAATTTGCGGAAAAATAGTAGCTCAATGGTAGTGACAGGAGAACGTGGATCTGCGATAAGACAAGGTTAGGAGTCAATTCGAAATGCCGGTTCAAAAGATGTTTGTTGCTACCGGCTCCGAAGTCGATTTTTTTTTTTTTTTTTAGGAAAGGGACAATTAAGACCTCTTAAATTGCTAGATTAATGCTTGTAAAACCTATGTTTGTTTCTGTAATCAATAATGTATTGTATGAAAAAATATAATGTTAAATTTAAGAACTGTCGATCGTCTGGCTAATAATTGTTTTCAAACTTCTGAATTAATTTTAAATCCGAACAAAAAAAAGACAATATTTTTAGTTGGAAAGTAAAAATTAAAAAATATTACTTTTTTTTATTCGTGTGTTATTTCGTTCATCTCTTCCAACTCTTGCCTATCCTGAAACTTTCTCTTCAATACTAGAAACACAACAAAAAATTTAGATATGACATTATTGCGCAATTTAAGCACACTTCTTTTTTATGCATTTAAAAAAAAAAACTCAACGCGTGGTGAGTCATAATTGCACGCCTAGTTTAGGTCCTGCCTTAGGTCAAACAACAACGGGAAAATAGCAATATCTTTCAATTGGGAAGGGTCATCAGTCTGCCTACCTTAAATCGACATTAGTTTTAAAATTCTTTTTTTCTGAATTTTTAACACTGGTTGATAAAAATACATAAAAATTATCTGACCCACCAATATTTAATAATTTATTTGTTATTAAATATAGCCTTACACTAAGGAAGCTTGGAGCACTTATTAAGAATGGTCTTCTTAACACATTAGTGGACAATGGAGCACGCACTGGTTTAGCAAGTTAACCTCATAATTGTGTAGCAAAAAAAAAATAACTCTAGAGTGCCTTGTTTGTAGCCTTATGCCAAACTAGATTAAGCTATAAATCACATATTTTGTTTGCGTGTTTCCTTTCTCTAGTTTTGACTTGTCAAATCTGGCTTGTTAATGTGAATTAAAAAATAAAACTTTTTTATAACCAAATGCTAATATTTTTCTGTTTGGGATTTTTTTTCATCTTCACACCCACTTTTTTTTTTTTTTTTTTTTTACAAGGCCTTATTGTCCAAGTGATTACTACTTTCTTTTTTCTATTATTTCCATCATAAGAGGACAGTCAAAAGTTGCAGAGAATTTTCAGATTTAAAGAAAAATTTATTAAATTTAAATCATCATAAAGTTGCTTTTTCTTTTTTTAATTTTGACATTACAATTAGTAAGAAAAAGTTGAAATAATAAATCAAAAACGAAAATATCTAATTTTTTTATTTCATTTTTCAGTCACCTTTCCATTCATTTCTATGGGAAAAAGTGCTAAACATCAAAATATTTACTTTCTGCAAACTAAACACAACTTGAAATCTAGCATTTTACGATTATTTTGAAAATACTAATTTTGTAACAACAAATAAATTGGTGTCGTGTTTTATAAAAAAAACGTACTTAATAATTCGATTTAACAGGAAAAAAAAGCTAATAAAAATTATTATGTACAAGATTAAACTAAAGTTAAACTAAAGTGTAAAAACAAACTCTCTCAGCTGTGTCATTAAAAAAATTATAATAGCCAAATTAATTTTATTTTTAATCAGTGAATGAGAAAAAAAATGTTAAGGATGAATCTTTGAAGAAAACGCGCAGTGTCATTTTCAAAGAATACTTTTTTTTTTTCATAATTTTTCCGATTCATACTGAAAAAAATAGTATTATATAGCAGAGCAATTCAATTGATAGCGGAAAGATATGTATCTGACGCAACTCTTTTTTTTTTTTTTTTTTTTTTTTTTTAACAAAGATGGGAAAATGCTTTTTTTTAATTATTAAATTATCGCTTTTTTTAGTTTTTACATTTCTTTAGAAAACGAATATTCGCTCCTTAAATCAATGCGTGGGTTATTCTAACAACACAAACTGAATTTTTTTCCCGATAATTTAAGCTAACGACAAACACAGGCGTGACAATTTAAGTCAATATGCCTTTAACAAATTACTTTTTAAGTGACGGTTCCCGAGTTGTTCTTGCTGTGAAATTATTGTGCATCCATAAGCCGTAAAATGGGTCAACAACGCTTTGAAGGCGCAGTTAAACTTCTACTCTTAATTAATCATTTCTGTTTCATTAGTCATTCCTACTCTACTACCTTTTTTGTCTATGTTATTGAATGTCATCAAGTGAAGGAATGAAGTGTGTACAATAACAAGAACCTAAAATAGTTTTTTTTTTCCATCTTCTGCAAAAAAGCGAATTGTCATGTCAGTCCTTTTTTTGTGTGTGTGTGTACTGTCAAATATAGAACTCAGCTGTTCTGCACAAATGCTTGCGTATCTGCATCTCTCTTCTTAGTTTTTCTTTTTAGTATTTACTATTTTTCACTAGTTGGGGGAGTGAAATAAAATGTTAAAATGCATTTTATTTTTAAATGATTAGTCTTGGATCGGTTGAGTTTTCAGAAAATATTGAGCCAGTTTTTTGGGGTGTTTTTTTTCTTCAAAATCTTCCATTTCATTTATTCATAAGAACAGAAACTCGACTTCTTTATGAATAAAAACATCTCACATACACACTGTTGAAGCCATTCATTATTCAGTTACTTTAATAAACTGTAAAATCAATATTATTTCGATTAAGAAAGACTGACATTTATTTTATTTCTTCTTGTATGAATTTGTAGTAGTCAACATAATTCTCTTTTTTTTTTTTTTTTTTTAATTAACAATTAAACATTCGTAAGGGCGACATTTCAGGTTATATTTTCCTTATTGTTATGCTATTTTATTTTATTTTCAATTGTATCTCTACATTGTTCTCCACAACTAAAGATAGTGTGATAAAGCAAGAACAGAAGGAAAAAATGATCCTATCTCCTTCCTTGCCATTCACTACTCAACATGAATGAACGAAGAACGTGAACGATCTCCATTCAAACACAGAAATCTACACCGTCTTTTCTTTTTCTCTCAACTCTTGACCCTCATTTATCTCCTCTCAGCGGAAAAAAGCAAAAATCTTGAATGTTGGGCACATTTTCCTGCCAGGTGTTTTTGTTAGCTGACAGAAACTCTTCTTTTTTTCTTTTTTTTCACTTCTACCTTTTTGTACTCCTACAAATATTTTGTCGATTTCTAGTCTACCAAAATGACTCTCTCCGGCTCCCCCTTTACAAATTTTTATTCGTTCGACGGTATCGCTGTTTATTGAAATTTTAATATATATGCCGGCGATTACATTTTCTTAAGTATTCTTGAGTGCGCAGACGTAATGCACACCGTTTTAAATACAACAAATTAACCGGGCGTCTACTAAAATTCGGGCATCCATTTAAAAATAACGTTTGAAATAAATTATAAAGATTACTGAATTAAGTTTTCGGTTAGATCAGGAAACCCTTTTATAAAATTTGATTAGATTTTGCGAAGTGGGTCGGAGCCGGAAACTTTTCAACACCCCCTCACATAATTCTTGTAAGTAATATAAGTACAGTACAATCGTGGCTTTTCCCCTCTCTTTTTAACCTCATTCTTGGAATAACACTGAGAGCCGTCTGATTGGGGGTTTGGGGGAGAGAATGTTGACATTTTAACCCTTTACCGTCTGGAATCACATCAAGTTGTAAACTGGTGTTCCCTGATGTTTCTTCCACATATCCTCTGTCGCTCAGACAATTTCTCGAGGGATGTGCATTTATTATTTATTTTACTAATAAATACTTAATGTTGCTTGAGTTGACTTGAATGCTATAAATTTTATTTTTGGGATTGACTTCAAAAAAATAATGACATGTAAAAATAAAACTTTATACTTTCTCGATGGAGACAAGAGAATATTTATTAATTGTTTGCTTAAAGTGCTTTTTAAATTGTTTCACTTAATCTGCTTAAAGCCTAATAACAACTTAATTAGTTTTTACTTTTTATTCTTCGGTTTGTTGCGCTTTCAATTACGACCTGATGAGAGTGAAATAAGAATAAAAAATGCAGGGGTATTACACACTAGCCTGCTTTATTTACCAGTTACAGTCATTTAAGTAAAAATTGATTATTAACTTTTCTTTTTTATTTTATTACTTTTTTGTCATTGTTGTCGTTCAAAGTAAGTAACAATTGCGTAGGATTTTTGTATGACATGATGTAAATG